TTTTAGCTTGAAGAGAAAATAACAAATGAAATTTCAACTGTGTAGAAATAATGACAATGACTTTTTTTTCAGGTCAAAAATGTGTTCTGAATATGTTTTAACACTGAAACATTAAGTACAAACATACATTTAAATTTCAGTGGCATTTTTAATTTAAATCCCAGCGACACAGATTTACTTCCATACAGTGGTTTATGTTAAAATAAACCTTTGGGTTAAGTTGTCACAAGTGGGTTTTTCTTGTGTTTCTTGTGAATGCCGTGTGCGTAACTTGTGTAAAAGAACATGACGTAAGTCGTGCTGCCCAGCGCTAGGCTCTGGTGCTGGAACAGAATCGTTAAGCGAGCTGCCAAACGATGCCATGATATTGGAACACACGGAACCGGTTTGAACAGGAACCAGTTTTCGATTCCCATCCCTATAAGTTACACCATTACTATTACTTTTTCATTTTCTCTGCACCAAAGTTGATAGTCAAACACATGCTCATCTTAGAATAATCAAAAAATTTGCTTTTTATTGCTGCTGTTGCTTTCTGTGTTTGGTTTTTAGTTTTAATGTTAACGCAGCTAATGATTGTTTTGCAGGTGCCTAACACAGCAGTGGCTTTGGGCGTTATCCACTGTGAAGTCGCTCCCTCCCACATGTTGTACGCTGCCAATTCTAGTCTGGTGGGACTCTGCTGCTTGGCAGAAAAAATCATAAGCAAGGGCGGACCGGTCATCCTGTCGCAAGCACCCCTATGTCCATGTGTGGGGTTTGGTACGTTGTTTTTTTTTACAACATTTCATTTAACTGACTATTTAAATTGAATTTGCCTTTAAAAGCGAAGTCCGGTCAGCAAGGAATAATAAATAGATCATTATTTTGATCTCCTCCATTTTAGATGTGATTAATCTATCCCTGTTACAGCGATATGTACCAAAGGCTTTTAAGGTTGCTGAAATTAAACCTTTACTTAAGAAACAGTCTCTTGATCCAGATGACTTGGTCAATTATAGACCTATATCCAATCTTCCTTTCGTAAAATTCCTGAGAAAGTAGTTGCCAAACAAGTTTGCGATCACTTACATCATAATGAACTTTTTGAAGAGTTTCAGTCTGGCTTTAGAG